ATATAGCAATATGAAGTGCTCTTGTAGTTTGAGTTATATATATATATATATATATATATATATACATACATATAATATATAAACACATACAAAATACAACATATCACAATATAGAAAGTTTAAATATTATCATGTTTAATTTTTTTTGCTATATTAATTTTGTGTCAATAGAAAATTAGATCTCAATATCAAAATATATTGTATTATGTTATTAAATCAAACAAAAGTTTAATTTCTTGATTTTTGAAATATTGCTTGATTAATGTTATAAACATGCATGGATTGGAAGTCAAATTTCTTTTTACTTAAAAGAATCTGAATATTTGAAAATCTTAAACCAATTATTACTTATTAAGACTTGTTTAACTCAGTATGACAATCTGAATTTTACATCTTTAAGTGGGAATGCTTTTTTTGCATTTTAGTCAATGCTGTTAACATAGTTATACTGAACCAATTCAACATTTTCATAGTCATGTTAAGTAAATAAAATATTTCTACATATAAAAATGGGTGCGTTAAATTTTTACATTAGTACTTTAGCATTAAGCATCGGAGCAGTCTAACGACATGGTTTTGGTATTAATACTTCAAAATTATTGTGAAAACTTCCATCCATAAATTTATATTTGTGGATGTATTCAACTGAATTTCTGATGAAATATAAATTAGAAGTGTAACTTGTATTGACAAGTTGAACACCGATTTGATTTTTTTTTTTTTAAATTAAGTACATCCAATCATAAGGCCTAAGTAAACAGCTTGAAAGTATGAAAAAACCAGTAGTATTCTATAAATTTAAACAAAAATCTTGACATCATGATTTATTCAGCACAATAACATTCACGATGAAACAATTGTTTGATAATTTTCAGCATATTTTGTACGTTAACGGTTTCTACCAATATCGATTTCAAGTTATCTGGATATCTAAAAAGCCTATCAGCAAACAGATCATTTGTATGACACAGCCTTGGGATTCCCAAAAAGTTGAGTAGGATAGTGCTGAATTTACTGCTCTAACTGTGACTAATGTACAAACCACTGCCAGTTAAGGCAATAAAATTCTTCATGAACTCTCTGGAAGGGTTGACCCAGCCATGGCACAGTACATCCTAAGCTCCCATCGGCGTTGCGAAACAGTTCTTGGTAATACAGATTGTACTGACGTACTACCTTCAAATTATGCACTTTGTACATCTACGTTCAATACCTGCTTACCAAATACCGAAAAGGTTCCTATATTGTACAAATGAATTGGGTAATGTACAAATTCTCCTCGTACATGTAATAAAACAACAGCGATATAAATTCTACATTCAGAAACCAGGAGTGCCTAAATATGCGTCATTAGACTCATGCAAAAAATGTAACTTCAGCAGGGTAACAGCTATTAGCCCATGATCAAGTAATGTCCTTCGCAGTACGCCTTAAACAGGCGTAGGCCCTGCAGTACCCAAGTGAATGAGTTAGATTGTCGAGCTGAGACTTAAATGCGTTACTCTACAAGATGTTGATGAAAAAACAACTGCATTGAGATAGCATCTAACAAACATCCTCACAAACACATCTCCAGTTGAAAATCAATATTAAAAATATCAGTGCTTAAGCAAAGAAAAACTCAGAATGCATACCTGGAGTCTTCACAATAACCGTACAGCAGCACATTCTTTAAGAGGTTCTGCGTGACGACACAACTTTATTGTCGCAGTATTCCACATCGACTAATCTCAGGCGTTGTGATGTGCAAGGTGATAGAAGCCAATTTTGCACGTCGTCCCCAGATGCAGAGACACGACCGCAATTACCAACGACATCTGTGAAGGGCGAACAAAGCTGCGCTAGTTGCAAATCAACAGGTGTCTTTAAGACTGAGCTCTTAGACTTGGAATGAGAACCTTTTCCTGTAACAATGACTACACTCTCGGGAGCGTCTTCGCCCCAAACCAATGCATGATGAAGTTCTCCAAGCCAGACTGTTAACATGGTAATAGCTCCTCCAACCGATAATCTGCAGAGCAAAACGTTTGTTTGTGCTGTGAGCTTCTCATCTCATGAGATACAGCTTTTGAGATCTCTCATGTTCACTAATGTGACGTAAACAGCGTCGCCAACTAGCCTACACAGAAAGGAACTTGAGGTTCGTAGGGACCGAAGGACATGGGAAAGTTTGGGTGACTTTGAAGTGACGATTGTAATGGATGTGGAATCCCGCGATTCTACTGCAGGAATCGCTTCCACAATACTGAAATAGTAACTAGTGATATTAGTGCATACAACTCACCTGTGAAGGTCAAGGCACCATTCCGATTTACTGAAGATATAAAACGAATCATCGTACACTTGTTTCTCTTTCGCATGTCGAAGGACACGACAGGCTCGTTCTCCAAACCCCCTAGTCCACAGAGTATCCAAAAGAGAGTTGTAGAATGAAAGTTGTGCCGCCTTAGGCTGCCTGGTTAAGCCGTTAAACATGTTTGCCACGTCTTCCCAAAGCTTGTCATTAATTTCGCATCCATTAATCAGCATGAACAGAGTTCTTTCCATTTCAGATTCTGATACCTGCATTACCATCAAATTGGTGAGTGCACCACACTCCTTCCCAGATTATCTACCGTTCTTACAATGAAGTTGAAGACAGCACCGGGAGGTATCTGCATGCATAGAAGACAATAAAATTTGAAATAATAAAAAGGCTCCAATCAAAAGTGGAACAGTCAATTCTACCCAAATACCTGCAACCTTCGTAGAAGCACTTGCGCCTCTACCCAACAGTTGGATTTGCAGCAGGAAGACAAAATAGCGGAGTACGTTATGAGATTTGGTTGACAGCCTGCTCGTCTCATCATATCGAGCATTCTAGCAGCTTCCAAGTAATTCCCAGCCTTTCCATAGGCATCGATGAGAGAACTGTATATCAAAACATTACCTTCGTAACCGGACTCCCGCATGATGTTGAATACATTTCTGGACTCTTCTGGCAAGCCGGCCTTTCCATAAGCCTCCATCAGTGACAAGTATGTGACCTGATTGGGTCTTAAACCAGAATGCTGCATCATTTTGAACATCTCCTCAGCTTTTTGGTACAAGCCCTCTCGGCCATATGCATCAATCATGGCCGTGTACGCCATTACGTCAACGGATACATTAGTCCCTTTCATACCTTTAAATGTATTTTCAGCATTCTCCCAAAGACCAGCCTTCCCATATGCATCAATGAGGGCTGTGTACGTGATGTGATCCGGCTGGACACCATGCTCAACCATCAAGTCCACCAACTCCTCAGCTTTCTCATAAAGCCCTCCTTTTCCACAAGCATTAATAAGGGTATTGTAAGTGGCTGAATTTGGTTGAACACTCTGGTCCGTGTTTCCATCCCTCATATACTGAAGAACTTTCATCCCAATATCTAATAGTCCTTCTTTGCAGAGAGCGTCAATGAGAACATTATACGTAATAACATTTGGTTCACATCCATGCTCGAGGCCGTTGGTACCATCCCGCATGTCAAAAAAGACTTGTATAGCTTGATCGTAGAGACCTCCTTTAACCAGGGCGTCAATAAGCGCATTGCATGTCACAGTATTAGGTTGACAGTTGGGTTCATTTGACTCTTTCATGTGACTGAACACTGCAAGAGCTTCTTCAAACATCTTGGCTTTCCCGTAAGCATTAACCAGAGCGGTGTATGTGTACTGATCAGCTTGACATTTCTCTAATAACATTTCTTGGAATAATAAAGTGGCATTGTGAACCTACATCGTTTTAGAGCACTAGAGTCAGACATGCAGCGAGTGTTACATAGGATCAGTTAACCTAAACTGACGTCTAATCCTGTATGCATTCAAAGCAGATAAACATCGTGGAAGAAGACAATTGTCTCGTCACAAGTATGAGGGATACGTACTAACCCGACCCTCTCTCCCAAGAAAGCCAATGAGGCGCGTGTAGAGCCGAGAGTTGGGACAGTACCATGACTGTTTCTTCGACCATGAAAACACCTGCAAATAAGGACATCGAGTACAAACAATAAGTGATCAGCAACGTATTTAAGTGAAGTTGATTCCATCCTAGCACATCTTCACAGTCTTAGTGTTAGCATGCTATAAGAGAAGGAAAGAGTAACTGGTGCCAAGGAAGCAAGCAGGGAACAATTGTATAGCTCCCATCAAAATTGTTCACGTCATTGAAGGGACATACAAAAAGATAATCACCTCTAACGTGCATCTCCAATCATGCTGCCGTTGTAATTCAGTTAGCACACATGTAATGTCGAACGGGGACAATGGTTTGGGGTGCTTCTTCATCACATCGTCTATACTGCGAGACTGTCTCCATGACTTCCGCAAAGCAGCAACTAGAGATTGTATTTCCGGACTACAAGCAACTGCGTTTGAGAATCTAGGACGAGCCTCCCTGTGCGAGGTCAACAATCTTGGAACCTTAGCTCTCACGTTCTTGCTGTGACCAGAAATCCTTTTGGGTCTCACCTGGTTTCAAAAATCAGATTTAAGAGTTCAAATGTCTAATAGGAAATTATCACAGACTCAGATTAGGTCAGAAAAATATAAAATCTGTGGTAACCTTTTCTTCATTCAATCTAAAATCGGAAACTGAAACTCACATTTCTCACCTGCACTTTAGGTCGCACATTCAAGCCAACTTTAACAGGCACATCGACACGATGAACACGTTTCGTAACCGGCGTGTCAACGGGATCCACCGTAGGCGCAGGTTTCCTCAACTCCAATTGTGGCTTCTTAGCTGATGATTCTTCGGCACCCTTCAAATCTCCCAGGTTTCTACTTCCTCCGGTGTTCTCAATCATAATATTTGTCACGACGACCCGACACCTCATACCCTGTCTTCGAGACGACTTCTTCACAACATACAAGGTTATCCCCTTGAAAAATGAGAACTCTCCCATGGCGGAAGGGGATGAAGCGGCCATCGAGTCAATTTTTTTACTCGAAAATGACCGGAGGTGTGCCTCAGCGAAAGCTGTTGGCGTCATGACTTGATTTGCACATCTGGACAATACAGATCCAACTGGTTCAACGGTCGAAATAAATCGGTGGTCATGAATCTACAAATAGTTTCACAAGTTTGTATTTAAAAATTTAACCAAAGAGAGTAATTTTCCATCGCTGAGGTCCGAAGCTCGTGGCTGCGTTGTGCTAGATATACCTATTTACCGATTGCAGTGAAACCCGAATTCATCATTGGGAACAGTGGACTGTGAGAATTACTTCTACTTCGCTACACAGGGATCGAGAAATCCAAGCGGCTTTAGAAATCGTTTAGATCCTGTTTTCATGCAATCATGCGTGCTTCATCATACCGTAACAAATTGAATTCAAAATTATGCAAACCATCAAAACTGGCATGACTAGCATCATTTACTAAACTGGATAATTATAGAGAATATTTGTTAAGATTAATCATATATGTTGTCTATACCATTTCAAGTTTCTGATACGTACCCCTGCAGTGCCTTATTTGGGATAATTGGAACAAATAAACACATGCCTTGAAGGGAAGAGCCAAACCTGTTTAAACCAAAACGAACTCCTGATGCGGAAACTCTGTGAGAGGAACCTTTGGAGGTTCCAAAGGCTTGACATGATCCGCACGAGGAAGAGGGCAATCGCCCTCGAACCCAACACATGCTCACCCCTTTAATTCACTCGGAACATTGTTTTCCCTCCAATCCTCTTTCCCCAAAATTTTGCGGCCCAGGTCTTCTTGAGTCTAATACGTTTGTTAAAAGCAGTGGGCACACCATCAACAAATGCTTTGCCTGAACCTGTGTTATACCCAATCGGCAAGGTTGAGATCAAAGGTGCACAATACAGACAAATTCCAAATAGCATGTCCGTGACGTATTTAGTAAACTCAACAAAAACTGTGCACACAATCCGCTAATTTCATCAACTACAGGGTGCTCCAACACTTTCTCTCACACTCCATATTCACAAGCAGAGTAAGTACGGATTCTTAACCAAGACTCCAAGCATAAAATACCAACTGGGCGAAGTCAAAGAAACATTTAGACAAGAAGCCCTACACAAATCACATCAAAAACTCAAAAAACAAATTGAAATCTGGAAGAAAGGCACTCACCAAGATTAGAGTAAGCACCACATCACGGAGTTTCCCGGCGAGGATTGCATTCGCGACAGTACGAAACCAAGTTTCAGACTAACAGCACGGAACTACGAATCGGACTACGAATCGTGGTGCAATTGATGGTGGTGCGCCGGCGGGGTGAAGCGGTGATTGCGAGTGGGAGCTGGGGGGCGGTTTTAGAGAAGGTGGGTCCGATGGGGGATGCGAATGCTGTCCACAAAGATGGTGTTGGCAAAAGTGCAGGAAAGCCTTGCGCCATACCAATCTCCCTCCGTCGGCTTTCGCTTTCGCTTTGCCCCCGAGTGAGTGGCGTGGTATCGTGCCTGTTGAGGAGCAGAAAGAAGGTCTCTAACGCCGGGTCGTCCCGTCGAAACGCCGGGTCGCCGGTTACATCTCTCCATCACATTCCATTCCACACAATAGGATGGGATCATAGGTTTTTTTGGAGTTCACGATGATTTTCTTCTCCACTGTTTTTTTCTATTTAACATGTTTTACTACAAAATACCCACATGCAGTTTCATTAGATTAGTTTTCGACCGTAATGAAATGAACTCAGAGAAATAAACTGCAGATGTTCACGGTTTGATACTTTCCGAACTAATGAGGGACGTAGAATTTAGGGTTTGCAAGATCCTGGACCTCTGAGGCACAGACAATCTTTTCGGGGAATGAATACTTCCTTGTTTACTTAACAAATGAAGCAAATCCATTCTGTTGGGTCTCACACTAAGAGCACCCAGACATGAGACATATTTATATTTATATCTATAAAGCTAACCTAACATTATCGCATTGTTCCTAAACGAGATTAGTTTTAATGGTGGATCTCGTATCAAGAGAACTAGAATTCAGGTGGGATTGTACAACATTCATTGAAGTAACTGATGAAGCAAGTTTTCTATCGAAATGTGTGATGGCAGTTACGAAAACCTGGAAGCATCTTATCCACTCAGCTAATTAACGACAGACAGGAAATGGACCCGGCTGTCCACTCGCCAATTCAACCTCCACGTCTGATTGCCGTGAGCCACATTCATTCTTGGTCATAATTTCAGATGTGAACCTCTAGGTTCGAACTCAAGCAAGGCGGAGTTGAATCTAGAGTAGGGACTAGATTCCTCTGAATATGCTTCGATGCTCGCTGCTCACCACGGACGGCGTTTGCGGTTCAGGGTTTTCAGTTGCCAGCATCGCCTTGATGCAAGCTATGATTCTCTACCACTGGGTCGCTTCTGCCATCATGTTCTCGTCCAGAGAGCATCATGGACGCAGCCGAAGCGAACCGATCCCCGCTGCTTGTATCTACCACATACTGCGAAGGATGAATCGCAAACCGATTTGAGGCTACGAAACAGCGTTCCCCTCTCGCGTCATTATCATTCAGTAACTCTAGGAACCACAACGAGTGGCGAGGGCTAAAAATAATGTTTTAGACCGTGAATTAATTTGAGAACTCTGTAGCGATGCCTCTGTGGATCAGTTTCAGATTTTCGAAGTGAAATGCAATCCCATGATTGACATGATGCATGAAACAATTCTAAAACCACTGTGATGTGCAGCTTGGCAACTTGTGATGTGAAAAACTTTTCGCACTCTGTAAAATTTAGGGCCAAAGAGGAGATTCCAGTCAACGCGCTCTCTTGCACCTGGACTATGTTACGAAACCATTCGTAACTTGTTCTGTACAGCCTTCCTTCGATTTAGGTAGTAGAGGTCGTCTACAGGTACCAGAGGGACCACCTCGAGAACCCAACGGCGATATTTCTAGTCCTATTCTCATAACATCATTATATGTTATCAAGCATTATTCACAAACTGTACATGAAGGGATTAAGCACCCGAAGAAGAAACTACCACACTTGAGCATGAACTGGGTCCCGGGCGAGAAGCTCCAGTGCCGAACTGATGGCACTCTCTCTCAGCGATCCGAAGAAAGCGAGAGTCCAAGACTGCCATTCTCGCTTATCAAATCGCGTGTGAGGAGGGTTGAACCGGTTACGGTACTCGCTGGAGCCGAGAAAATGCTCCACTTTCCGGCCGGCAAGGACGAGATGGACCTTGTTGTCACACTGAAGGCGAGCCACAATGTACACTAAAGCGTATGTAATGTTGTTGCAACCCTCCCATGAGTCCACACAATGGCTGATTGTCTCTTCGGTCCTGATGTTGCAGATGGGCCCACAAATAGCATCGCTGATGTTCACTGAGGACAACGAGTTGCACGTCTCGCTAAGCTTCGACTTCAGGAACATCGCTAGTTGTCTGGTGTCGTCACTGGGTACGACGATCTCTCCCAGCTGGAAGGCAGACACTTGCGGCGCAACAATTTTATCGAACTCGTACAACAATCTCTCTCTGTCTTCCATTTCACGGTTTTCTTCAGAGACTCGCACCCGGTCCTTGAGCACAATCGGTAACAACGGTGATGTCGTCAGACCCTCTGCCTCATCACACTTCGAGCTCCTGATCAAGATTTCCATCTTCTCTATTGACTGTTTCGTGGCTCGAGTCAATAGTGGCGATGCTACTGTCAAGTTGAAGAGTTCTACGCTTGGATATAGTCGTGAGAATTCCCGAACAAGTGAAAATGATAACCTTAAAAGCCAGATGAGGATGCACTTCCCAATCAACAGAGTGAAGACAATTGTTCTGACCAACCACATGGAAACGAGGCAGTACACGCTTGATGACACAATCCTTTGAATGAAGACTTGCAGCTTCGACTTAAGTGTAGTCTTCATCTAGTTGCTCTCTTCACGCCTCCGGGAAAATTATAGAAACAAGGAGAATGGATAGAAGTTTGAAAATTTTCTATCGTCTCACACTTTTCGTGAGACTTGAGAAGAATAAGGAGGAGATAGATTTGATGTATTCCTGCCTTAACGTCGTGGTAATGTCGCAATGATCAAGATCAATTTTGTGTTTCCTTTCATGAATGGCCCATTCCTCTCCCTCCGTGTTCAGAATTCTAAGGTCTCTAACATCAGCAAACGGAGACATCAACAATCATATCATGACTGTCTTCGATTACATTCTTCGAAACCCAGTAGAACATTCACTTACAAATTATTGGAGCCACTCCCTTGTAGTTTTGCTACATCAATTTGTACCGTTGCATACTGGCTGAGTGACATTTAAACACCATGGCAAACATGCACCCTCAAGAACTGCTTGTCTATCTGCACATCTACACCGAGGTTGCAACAGCGCGAATTTGACATGCAGCAGTAGTACTTTGGACAGAGTTGAATAAGCGAGACAAGCCGAGACACTCAAGCGTGATATCCCACATGTCCAACATCTTCCTGCTCAATTTCTCAGTGAAAGCCTACAAAAACGGATACTCCTGTTTAAGCAGCTCTGCCATCATAATCATCTCTACCAAACAGGCAAGATGCTTCCATCAAATCACGCTTAATTCCAAACGCAGCTGATCGTTGTGTGGACACAAGTCTAAGCTACCTGACAATGGCAGTCGACTTGACAGATATGGCTTTATAGTGGAGTACGAAGCTGTAGGTGTTGCAACGAGCTGTTTCCGACACATCTTCAACAAAGAACCATGATCATCACCACCGCTTCACGCCATCGTCTGCCATCGCCAGCCTTCTCCGCGAGTAGCTGACGCTAGCAATGGAGCAGCCAAATGGTCCCAGCTCGAGAAAGAAACATGGCTTCCCCCCCGAAATGCGATAATATAATAAGGTCTGTGAACTGCGTACTGCTGAGTATGAGGCCTGTGGTGGCGTGAAAATTGGCAAGGAACTTCACTTATGTATGATTCTACTGCTGTCTATGATCCCTATCCACGAGGGAATTCTTCCTCACTCCATGGCGCCAATTAGCGTCAGTAGAGGATCAGTCTGGTACATGCTGAGCGGAAAAAAGTGATTCTGAGCTGTGAACTTCGATGCCTTCCCGAGGAGTTAATGAATGTGGGGTTCTTCAACATCAGTAGCCTACAATCTGAAGAAGTTATTCTTCTCTTCTGCTGTAAACTTCAGTAAGGAATATGCTCTCCCTGCGTACGAACTGCCAAAACCTTTGACAATCTCCCTTTGGACACTTCTGCTGCTGCTGCTCAACCATCTTTAAGCGTGGCAGCTTACTGCAGACGGGGCAGCCTTACAGTATCAATTGTGCCAGTTATTCTAAATTCAGCAAAGATTGTGTAACCTGATTTGCAGCCCCAGGCAGGAGAATCACCTCGTACTTGTGTGCAGTAGCAACTGACTGGCAGATATTCACGCACTGTTGCATGCGCAGGAGCCAGGCTGATTCTCAGGTGGACAATACCCCTTTTTTCTATTGAATTGCGTAGATCATGCAGCTCCTGGAACACTCATGCTGGAAACACCTGCACTTTGTTAACTAGCTTCTCAATCATTTCCTCATGGTCATACTCGCATGTATGAGTACATTAACTAATCGGTCGAAGCTTACAGGACAGCTGAAACAACGCAATTATGCACACACAGATTACTCCTCCAAGCAATACTGTTAAACAACAATCTCGTAATCAGTTCACAGTCTGGAGTGGTGTGTGTGTGAGTGTATATTTGCTGTAATAAATTAGCAGACATTGGGATTTGGAAAGCATAACCTCCTGGAGCTTTGTGCCATTGGTGTTTGTTTTATTGTTTTCCTGCACAACCCCCTACGATTTCCTCACCACTAGTTGCAAAATCAATCGCATCTAGGCTGCACGACGACGCTGCAAATACACATATGACACAGCCGCACTTCTCTTGTCAGTTGCTTCCCATGCATTAAATTCGTGGAAATGAAAAGAAATTAACAAATTAAATGCTCTGAAATTGAAAACTATGAACAGGTAAAGGTTAAAACATACCTACTTCTTCTACTACTTCTTCCTCTTGTGAACCTACATCCTAATTATTTAGTCAAGGTTAAATTACACAATAAAACTCAACTGGTGGGTTTCAACGTGACTATAGCTGAAATGTACATGACTAAGTTAAATCTGTGAAGTTCAACCCTACAGAGGCTTGTCTCCTCAGGCCAAAAGCTGGGCTGCTCCAAAGCTATGTATCCAATTGTAGTACAACATCTAGGCGTTCATTGACAAAACTTTCACTAGTAAAGGAAAGCTTTTCTGGAGCATGAAAATAAGTGTAACTGGACGATTGGAAGTTATCAAATTACAGCTACATAACCCAGAGATAAACAGCCCCACAAAAACAAAATTTCCATGGACCCCAGTTCTTGCACTGATTGGAGCTTCTTTATCTATGTTTTTTTCACTTTGTACCTTTGTGTGATTTGTCACATGGCTCTGTGAATCCAGATCATAGAATTTGTAGGGCTTGCTCCTTGACCTTTCAACTGTACGTGGACTTTTATGATTTCACCATAGAGAAGTTTTTATTTTATTGTATTTTATTTTAAAATAACTGGTTATTTCACTTTATAGATAAATTTGAAGGTCATCATTTATGCAAATTTTTTATGGGTAGAGTTGAACAGCTTACCCACTTTGTCCATGGCTCTTTAACAGACTGCGGCTTTAAACCTTGAGCGGCAGAAATCCACAAAGGTTATTCATGGACCCCAGTTCTCTCACTGATTGAGCCTTTGCCTTCCTTTTTCTTTTCTTTACTTTGCTTACTTAGCTTTTCTTTGTTTGCACCACATGTGATTCTTCTTTTGACTTGTTGAGGTACAAAATCCAACTTAGAACACAAACTGCATCCTCATTGGGTTTCCAACAGTGTGCAAACCACTACAGCTTCTGTGGCTACTGGCTTTATAAAAATGGCCACATACAATGCCCCACATATTTAGGGGTTTGTAGATAACTACACTTTTAAAAGGATAAAAAGATAAAGAATAAAATAAAAAAATAAACTGATGGTAGGTATGTGTGCTTGGAGTTGGACATTGTAGGTTGTTGACTTGTTAGATGAAACAAGCAGCCCTCAGTTGCAACTGTTACCATGGCCACTTAAGCTGTAATACATCTGGATTTATTTTACATACATATACTTGTATGTTGTTTGATATTAGCTCCAGTGCAATAAGGGGTGCTGAAGTAGTAGAATGGGTGGGAGGAAAATGTTTAGAGAATGAAGAGACTAATACAATAGCCAACATGGAATTCTTCAAAAAATACAACTTTCATGTAAATGACCATAATTTTCAATGAATATGAAATGAGGGCATGAAGGGTAAGCCTAAAAGTCATAGGCTTGACTTAAAGCTGCTTTCTAAAATTGAATCTTTTTAATTTAGTTTAAGACAAAATAATAACAAAAAAAAAAAATAACACAGATGAGCAATGTGAGTATATTTTGTCATTGAAGTAAATTATCTTTAATTAATTACTATATCATAATTCTATTCTTTGTAGAGCATCAATATCAATGCAATAGAACCTTCTTCAAATTCGGATTTTTTTCCTTACAACTTTTTATTTTAATGCCCCTCCTAGTATATGCATTATTAGCAACTTTAAAACTTTACTATATAATGTACTCATTATTTTTATTTTTTGCTATTTGCAAGTTTCTACAAATCAAACCAAATAATTTTGTAATTTGATGCTATAAAATCCATCTTAAAATAATCCAAAAATATTATGTATATTTATTTTTAAATTCTTTTTTTGTTATATCTTTTTGATTTAATCATAAAGATTGATTTAATATGATTATTTATCTATCTACAATAGTGCATGTTTTTATTTTATGTATTAATAAGTTTGTAATTTTTTAAAATTTTATGTTTAATGTTATCTCTATTAATTACTCTAAACTTTGAAATTAGAATTTTTTTCATTTATCTCAAATCCTAACTAATATGTATATGTGTATATAAATATGCTAGATGGTAAGGTGGGGTATTTAATATCATATACTATCTAATTTTTATTTATTTATCTATCTCTTTTACCTCTTATACAATCCTTGTATAAATCTAGACTAGAAATTCAAGCCACTTTAAAATTTACAAGTTATTTTTTTAAATAACTTTTTTGATACAAAAGTGTTGCATAATGCACAATATGATATTTGGTTTACATTACAAAAACATAGTTAATATTACTTATGCTTTTACCATCACAACTTTTATGAAACTATGAAATCTTGTAACCTAACTTCTTTTATTTATTTATTTTCATAATATTTATTTTAATATTTTATGTAATTATGCAACACTTGAATCAAAGATGAAATTAAAAGAATAGTCTTGTGATATAAAATAAAGTAAATTAAAATTTAAAAGTAATATGATAAAGCCATTAATATTTACTACTATTTTATTCTTATATTAATATCAAAATATCAATAAAATTTGCTATTTTTTTAAAAGTGTCACAATTAAAAAAAATTACATAAGATAGAATAAATTCTTTGGTTAAGCATGCTAGTTTAATATAAAAAATATTATATTCTAATAAATATTATTTTTAATATAATTTATTATAAGAAATAATTAACAACATTTCAAAATATTTTGTTCTCTTAAGATATTTCAATGAATATAAAACAATCTAATATTATCTTTGATATTTTTTTTTTTGAAATACATGTGCTATAAGTATATGCAATAAAAACTAATAAAATTACTTAGGAGAATGATAGAATTTTATAAGTATGCAAATCTTTCCTTAAAAATTAATATACTATTTAAATAGATTCAAAAGATGGATTATATAATAATTCAAAATTAAATAGAATTACACAAGAATTAAAATAGATCTAAAATATTATACTAAATAAATATTATATACATAGAATTAATTAATTATTAAAAATATAATTCTTATGTATTATGTAATATTAACTACTATAAATATTACTACAATTTCAAAGTTGAAAACTAAGATAAGTATGAAATTAAGCCATTTTAAAAAAATATTTAATAAAAAAATAATAAACCACAAAAAATTATTATTATTATTATATTTAAAAAAAAAACATTGATTAGGTTTGTAAATTAAAAAAACTGATGCAATTATGCCATTAAGGTTTGATACATAAGAATTATAGTTTTAAACTAAGGTTATTAATATAATGGTCAAAAACTTTGATTGTTACTGCAATGCAAATCCAATTTACTTCAATTAATTATTATTCCATATATATATATATATATATATATATATATATAATTTATTTTAAAAAAAAATTAAAAAAAAATTAAAAAAAAAAAAAAAAAAAAAAAAAAACCAACTTGCAGTACAATTGCTTCATAAAAATTTAGATTTAGTTTTTAAAATAAAAATATCAAAGAACAAAAATGAATTGTGCAAATTTAAAAAGCATGAGTTTAAGAGCACTATATATATATATATATATATATATATATATATATATTTATATATATATTGAGAGTTCTTCATATTCTTTGAAATATAAATATGTTGAAATTTGAATAAAATAACTTGAACATCATATACCATGTTTAAAGTAATATGAAATGCTTGTTAAATGTTGTTATTTAAATATTTAGAATGTTTTATGTGGTAAAGTTTTTTAAAAATTACAATTATTAACACATCATATATTAACAATGAATTTGATACAAAATCCATGAATAAATGTGTATGTTGTAACATAATTTTACAACTACAAAATATTATAGAATTTTAGTGGTTTCCTAATAGCTTTTACTTCAAAAAAAATTAAATTAATTTATTTAATATCTTCTTTTTTTTTAATCGAACCTATGTAATTATTAATAAGAATACAATACTAATTTTAAAAGTTAGCAATAATATGAAGTATGTAATATTAACCACCAAAAACATAAATTGGTGTTATATGAATAATTGAATATATAATGCCTTTGTTGTGCACCAATATTTTATATATATACCACATCACATAGTCTAAAAATGTATAAACTATGTCTATACTAACGTACTCACATTAATAAATATGTATCTCCAATGTACAAGTGGCAATGTTAACAAAGACACCACACAACACCAATCTACATTTGGTTTGAGTTGTAGCTCAATACCTATAACAATAAAAAAATTATGTGGAATGGTCTTACATAAATACTATTAAAACTAATAATAGAAGTAATTCTAAATATACATAGTTTTTCAGCAAAGCCAAGGCCAATTAGGCCTTTTTTACTTGTTCCATGCATCATCAATGAATCCCCTTTCATGATGGTGCATTCCAATCAACATCAATCCAATCAAAGAGCTATGTAATATTAATCAAATTAACTTCTATTAACTTATTAATTTCTTTTAGATTTCCTCTTATACTGTAGGTAAATCCATCTATCGATATGAACTTCATCTAAAGATGGTGTCAAACACCTCATATATTAAATTATTGAACAAACATTACATAGGATTATTATATCAGATCTATGAGTTCTTCTATTGAACAAACATTACATAGGATTATTATATCAGATCTATGAGTTCTTCTATAGAACATGCACATAAAGTTGGCTAGAATCACATTCAAATTAGGATCCACCATACCAATTATATTTAGTAAATAACAAGGAGCATAATTTTTAGAGAGATTCTATTATATTTTTTATTACAAACTTCTAACTTCAACACACTACTTGAAAGTACTTTCTTAAATCTTAGAATGACTCAATTGCTATCATATCTAATATAGTTGGTAAAATTTTCTTAAAATAAATATAATCACCTAATAGAAATAGACATAGTTGCAATCTATAGCCTCCTTCCATAATAGTGGCATATTACAGAATA